CCACCTTTCCTTAGGCTTTATTATCAACCCACTCCTCTTGAAATTAACCACAGTCTCTCGCCAACCACTCCTCTAAGTGTTCTTGTATATTACAACGTGTGTCAACAATAAGTGCAAATAAAGGATTTGTTCTCCAATACAAATGAGAATGAAATGTAAGCTCTCTCAATGAATCACTCACAACCCAAATATATAATATGTGAAATATTTAAGCTCAAGTGGTTGTGTGTGAAAACAATGAGCAAAAAAAAAAAAAAAAAACTCAAGTAAATCTATCTTGTATATATAAGAATCAAAATAAAGATTAAGCTAGAGGAAGAGTTTAGAAAAACTTCTGCAAAAATAAGAGATGTAGAGATTGAGGATGAACGCCTCAAAAGAAATTGAGATCCTTCTCTCGTAAAACTCTTTTACATAGTATGTTGCAGTGACTGAAGCCAGTAAAGAGATGATATGGCTTCAGGGTTTGTTAACTGAGCTGGGATTCGAACATGACAGAAATGTCTTGCACAACGATAGTCAGAGTGCGATTCACTTGGCTAAAATTTTCGCATTTCATTCTAGAACGAACCATATTGGGCTTCGGTACCACTTCATCAGATCCTTACTGGAAGATGATGTGTTGAAAGTGGAGAAGATTTCAGGAAGTAAGAATCCAGCAGATATGTTAACAAAGACGGTACCGTTCAGAAACTGAAGTTGTGCGCAACTTCAGTTGGCTTTCATGCATAGATGATGAGGACGGAGCCACACAGGAGATGGTGCTTGTTGAGATAGCCTGTTGACGACGGTTTGATTTCCAAGTGGGAGATTGTTGGAATTGGGATTGAAGCCCAAACCTTGATTCAGGCGAGGCCCTTCCCTTCTTGCAGGCGAGTTCGAATGAGTGAAGCAGGCGAGCTTATTATCGAATCGCATGCGAGCTCGAAGGGGGGTTGTAGGCGAGGTCGACGCAGAGGACGTGTGCAATAGGCGACTCGAGGAGCTACAGGCGAGGTTGTCAACTGCAGGAGAAGTCGATCGCAGGCCTTTACAGGCGAGTTCGAGTCGAGATCTGGCG